AAATATTAGTTCTCGAAATCACACTAAATGTCGCTACGGTACGTTCTTGATTTCTCCATGACAACCTTTCCGGTTTTCTTTCAAGTTTAAAAGTAAATTAATTTTCAAAACTCAATAAACAACTGGCACCTTGAATTGCACAATATATTAGCTTTTTTACAATTGCACTTATTTGATAAACACTGTCCCTTAGAATATTTTTTGCAGTTGCATTGCTTTATTCCTTGCCCGCCAAATGTAGAAGACATCGCAGATATTTTTCTTAATGGTAACTTAATCTGTAATACAAACTTAAAGTACATAAGAATTGCAAGTCATGTTTATATAAGTAGAAATAATAGTACAAATCGTACCTCAGGAAGAGTTTCATTCAACATTTCTCCTGTGGTTGAAAGGACAGCGTTTCGAGGCAACCAGTCATTAATGACGCCAAACGAAGTGCCAACTTTATAAAGTTCATTCCTTTTTCTATTACTTTGCCGACAACATTCTTGCTATCTAGAGGCCCCCTATCTACTCTCGGTACTTCGACTAACACAGTAGCACCAACATCAATATTTTTAAACTTTTTAGAAGAATGTGCTGTCATTTTTTCTGCTGCTCTTTTCAAATTTAAGTGCGAGTCCTTCCTTTCCTTCAAAATGTTTATTTCGTTTGTGCATAATTTACATATTAACTGCGAACGATAACCTTCGTCATTGCTTTCTGTTGGTTCTCCGCAGATAACGTGTACAATACGTTTACATTTAATACATGTATGAGCCCCAGGTGATTCATTGTTGCATACGTGACAAAACAACGTATCTGATTCGACATTTTGTTCTATTGTAGTTGTAGTTGTAGTCTCGATTCCATTTGCAATGTTGTCAAGGTCTTGCCAAATATTGTTTGTGTTCGCGCCCGTGCTTTCACTGTCAACTACAAGTACTTTGACTTGCTCAGTTTCAGATATATTTTTTGTCGTAATAATTGACTCTGTGGCAATATCAAGAGTTTTACAAAGGTTTTCTTTATCAGAAGTTATATTTCCATCGTCATTTACGGTCTTATGTTCATCGTCGTTTACAGATTTTAAGAACGTCTCTACATCCTCTTCCATTTCAAATTGAGAAATTATATTCTCGGACAAATGTGTAGAAGTTAGACCGCACCTTGAATCATCTCCAAACAGGGCTTTAAACGGTGTCCTTGCAATCGTAGAATGGTATGATGAATTTTTTTGGAATGGGGCAAAGTAACAACCTATTGACCAATTAGTTGAATTATTATCCACCATCCAAGCACGAATCATATTCTTCACGTCTTGGTTTGAACGTTCTACACTTCCCTGGCTTTGGGGATATCTAGGCCTTCCATTAACAATTTTGCAAGCTGGCCATAAGCTCACTATTTCTTTTAATATTGATGCCGTGAACTCATGTCCATTGTCGCTTTGGAGAATATTGGGACAACCAACTTCTAAAAATATCTTTAAAATTTCAATTGCTACTTCTTTCGCTTCTTTGCTTTTGAGTGGCCGTAAAAAACTAAATTTGGTCAAATGATCTTGGTACTGTAACATCCATTTGTACTCTCCATCTGGCGATGATTGAAAATCCACCAGATCTACCTGTCCTCTTCTATTGAAGTCATCTGTAATTAGTGGTTTCACGACTATCCCAGTTTTAGGAAAACTTTTCTTGGAAAGGCAAGTTTTGCACAATTGAAGAAAAATATTTATGGCAAACACTGGAACCATGTACTTTTCTTTCAAGCCGTAAATAATTTTGTCACGCCGTCCGTGACCTGTAGCAACATGTGTATCAAGGATTTTTTGATAGTATTTACTGCTTGGAATTACTTGTATCACTGGATCCTGCTGAGATTTCCTTTTTAATATCAATACTTTTTCGTCACTAAAAGTCATAATGTCATACTTTTTGGCGTGATAGTATTCTTTGTCTGTGGGCCGACTTCCCAAAAGTTTAGCTTTATTATAATTTTCTATCATTTTAATAACATTTTGAATTTTTTCCTCTGTCCATTCCGACTTCTTACTATTTTGGTTATGCCCACTATAAAACTTTCGTAGCTCTGTGGTAAATTTTACTTCGTCAACAAATGTTCCAGCATTTACCACACTATCTCCTTCATTTTGCGTGTCCGCAGCTTGTAGGTCACTCATTATGGGTATTGCTATATAAACTTAACGAAATAAAGCTATTTTTCACAGTTTCAACACAGTTCAACACTTCAAACTAATCAAAACGCACGAGCAAACCGGTTTGTTTATGTTCCGTGGCGAACAATGGCGGCCGCGAGGAAGGAGAAGTGACATGAGACAGTCAACCAATCAGATCGCGCGTGGCGTTTGGTTCTTGCTTACTTATTATTTTACGAGTGAGTTCAGTAAGTTTATCAATTTACGAAAATGTAGACGTAAAATAATACGATTTATCTCCCGTTTAGAATCCTACGAAAGTTTATAAACTTCCTAGTAAATTGATAAACTTACGGATATTTTTATTTTCCGGTGAGGAAGTATTTAAAAAAAAAAGAAACTACAAAAATTTATGGCACTAGATGGCAGTAATCAGTATTATTGAAATATATTATTTACTAAGTACCTAGAGTAGTCATGCTCTCTTAAAATCTCTGCAGTGGTGTCGTGTGCGTTAGGTCGTAATTTTTCCTCAAATATAGTATAGTTGAGTTGTATAGTTGAAATTAAAAAAGCAGCCCTTGCTGAGTTTCTTGCCGATTCTTGCCAGTACGAAATCTCCCGCCTTAGTTTTGCGAACCATTGGCAAAGTTTTCGACTTTCACACGTAATATACGTATGTAACAGCCTAAACTGAATTTGATTTTAATATTTATATTAATGTCATTCGTTTTGTGGATGCATAATTGTATTTGTATGTGTTAACAAATACAAGCTAAATTCTGCGCTCCGCTTTTTGTTCTTAATTCCAAACCTGAATTCGGATGAAAATTACGAGTTACCAATAAATTGGCTTATCGCTAATTTTGACGTGTAAGCCAAACATCGTTTTTTTGCACGTAACATAATAAACAACTTCAACTTACGATTAAAATAAATTAAAATTAATTAGAAAGTTAGACATTATAAGAAACACAAAACGATGTCATATTTATTCATTTTCGATACTCAATTTACTTTTATTACGTCAGCAATAAAATTTTAATCAATATCATGAACAAAATCCAAACATCGCGAGTGACATCTAGTATGATTTCAAGAACTAATTTTATTTTTTTAAATACTCCCTCATTGCGTATTTGAGCACATGTCTGATACGGGCTGAAAACTATCATTCTCTTCTCTTTCATTAAACACTGCGATAAACGTTTTGGACAAGGAGTCATGTTGCCACATATACAGATTTCTCCGTATTTATACAGATTTTCGGTGTGTAATACAGATTAGCACTGGATACAGTTTTTTATACATAGTTTTCTTGCTCTATAAGAATATTCAACTCAAAACAGAACAAATCAAAATAAATGACTAGATATCGTGTGACACACATCAGTCTATTCTTTATTGGTAGGTAATTTATTTTTTCACTTTTCGAAACTTTTTCGTATGGTTACATTAAAAGTTTTACACGATCAAAATTCAACGTAAATTGCAAGCTAATAAAACATTAACACAGTCGTAGATCATGTATGGAAGACCAATAATGTATGTGTCACTATTGCACAAAATGCCTGGTTTGTTTAGCTTATGAGTTGCGAAAAGTGTTTTGGTCACTACAAAATAAATTTTAAATAATTAGTAGTTTTGAGATACTGGCCGTGTTTATCGATGTAAGTATTGTGTATTATTTTTATCGTGTTTGCTGATTATTCTAGTTTGAAGTATGTAAATTTTTTTAACAGTAATTGAATACCTTTTCTGCAATGAAAATTTTATGTCGAAGTGATGTATGCGGGAGAGTTGAACCACTGTTTTTGTTGAAGACATCAGTGGTTAATTATACCATCTGTGATGATCATTCTTCTGCCATAATACTACTTGCACTCAATTCAATATTATAAATGTTAATAAAACAAGTGAACAGAAGGCAAATAACATTTAGAATAGTTTTTATAATTTTTGAGAATAACGATAAGTATCAATTCCAAATAATAAATAGATGAAAGCAAAACTACGCAAAAGACTCTAATAGAAAGATGATACTAAAAAAATAAACAGAAATTACTAAAACCCCTGATAATGAGTTTCCTCAGACTTTTGATCATATGTTCCTCATTGTGGATCCATTTCCCATTTTTACTTCAAATCGGCTTAGCAATTTACAGTATTGAAATATTTAAAAAGTAATGATGCAAAAACAAATCTATATAAATTAAATATGAATTAAAATTATGATCTAGTCTCTACGAGGAATCTATACGAAAATGTGATAATTCAAGTAAAAAGAGATTAAAGTCTCCTCGACCTCCCTTACTCGAGATATCTCCCAAATTTAAAAAACTGATAAAGAATAGATGAATGTGAGAGCGAAGTACTTTGAACAGCAAGCAAGTTTTTGGAGGATTTCCCGAGTAGTTCATGTGACGCAAACATTTGCAGAGACGAACGTTTGTTGCAAATTATTGAGTTTTAATTTAATATGTTGTTCGTTAAATTCATATTCTAAATATAGTTCATAAATACTTAAATAAAACGTCAATTTAACTAATAGTGTATATTTTTATTTAATTTGCGATATCAAACCTTAGTACTTATTCTTTATTTTTCAGAAGAAGTAATGATGATTATGATCAGAAAATGTGTTTTGATTTTTTGACCAAACAGAATTATTTACTACAGATACTATTTGTGAACCTATGTTCAAGCCATCTGGCAACACTACAAGGAGTAAAAAAAAGTACTATTGAAAGAGTAATCTCAAAATAAAAGGAAAAAAGAGAACAAAAAACTACTCTTTGTTTTATTTTGTACAACAGACAATGGCTGTATGGGCTAAGCTCTCTTCGCCTTTTCTTTAAGGAAAAAATCTACCAAAAAAAAAACTTTTTGCTTTGCATGGTGTTTAGTTTATTACTTAACAAATTTAGATAAAAACAAAACCGATTGCAAAATACAATACATAAGCAATGGATTTTATCATAGATACCGTGGGAGATGTAGATCTCCAAACAAAAACACAAATGTTAGAGGAAGAAGAAAAGCCATATTTTATAGGTTAGTATTGAAAATTTCTTGCAGGGTTAGTTATTATTTTCTGATTGAGTTATTACATCTATCAATGTTTCAGATAAAGAGCAGCGAACTGAAAATATTCTTGATATGTTCGAGAAAAAGAAACGAGAGCTTGACAATGAAGTTGCTGCCGAGGAGGAATTACAAAATAAACTGAAAGGGCTAAAAATTGATAATTTATTTGATGAATTCTTTGAAGAAATGTCGTGGAACCATGTTATAAGAAAAAAGAAGCCTTTACGGTTTCATTTTGATCAATTAGATGTCGAAACAGGCAAGCTTAAATCGAAAATCGGTTCAGTTGATGTGGAGAAAGAAATGAAGAAATCTGTCTTGCAACCAGGTTTAGAAAAAGAAACTAGTCTACCAAGCTACACCATTAGTCAGAGAAAATTAAAGGCTATGAAAAAGGTAAATATCCATATTAAAATTCAACATTGTCAGTATTCAATAGGATTCTCCATAAATATTTTATTTTTATAATAAATGTTACTATTGCAGAAAGAAAGAGAAAAGACAAAAGGCCCTGGCTGGTTCAACTTGCCTGCTCCTGAAATAACTGATGAACTGAAGAATGACTTGGAAGTCCTCAAAATGAGATCAGTTCTTGATCCCAAACACTTTTATAAAAAGAATGATATGGAAGTACTTCCTAAATATTTTCAGGTTAGTTAAATAATTTCATTGGATTACAACAAATAGGCTAGTCGTCAACTTTTATTTTATAAATAAATTGTCCATTAATATCTAAGAAATAATCTAGAAGTAAGAGCATGTCTGCCTCTAATAGTTTCGGAAATACGGTGCTATATTTGTGGAACTGCTGCTAGTTAGCCAAAAACACTCTATGTTATCTGTAACTTATTTCTGATATGAGTAGTAAGGGTGTGATGTTGCGCGCCATGCCATCACTTGACAACAAGCATAAAATATTTGTTTTTTTTTAATAATTAGTTCAAGCAATATTATAATGTAATAGTATATTAATTAAATTAATGGCAATTTTCATGCAATCTGTTTTTGTCTTTATATAACAAATACATTCAGTCATGTGATGTTTCATAGATGATAGTAATATGTTATTTATTTCCGGTAAAACTAAGTAAATAAATAAATTAATAGAAAAATGTGTAGCATGTAGTTTGTCATGCCACATGCTAAAATAGACTCGTCAAATACTGTAAGCTCTTTAAAATCATAATTGTTGAGGATCCCTTGTTTCTATTAATCCTCTTTAATTGTTAATACTGTAAGAAGTAGATTACATGTTTATCAAATTTTTAGGTTGGACGCATAATGGATTCACCACTAGACCATGTCAATGAAAGATTAACAAAAAAACAAAGGAAAAGAACTATGGTGGATGAACTGTTAGCTGATGCTGAGTTCCAAAAATATAACAAGAGAAAATATAAAGAGATCATAGACGAAAAAAGAAAATCAGAATATAGGACTTTTATGAAAGACAAAAGACAGAAAAACAAAGCAGAACTTAAGAAAAATAAGTTAAAAACTAAAAAGAAATCTATGGCAATTCAATAAATATTATTTGAACACAATGTATTTTTAATCACTTTTAGGGTAAATTATAAATAATAACATCATTTATGTACCCATAATTTATATATAAATCAACACCAATAGCAAAATAGTTTTAACAATTATTTTTATTTTCTATCTAATATGAATAACTGCAAAAAGTATAGTTTTTGTAAAATATGTATTATAAAATATAACCTGTATAATATGTTAATGATTTGAATGTAAAAACACTGTACATATTTAAATATCACAGGATGAAAGAGGCACCTAATTAATAGGGGACTAGTATAGTAATTATCTATACTATAATATATATAAAAATATGTATTTCCTAAAATCCTCCACTGATGTCTATAGCTGCTCCAGTGATGTATGAGCTCTTATCAGAGCCCAAGAATGTTATAAGTTCAGCGACCTCTGAAAAATAACATTATTAATTTTGGTATAGGTCTGGTGGTATAGCAATATGTTTCATTCTTTAATGAAAAATGTATAACACTAATTTTAATATCTATTAATTTTTGGTCTGCTTAAAACAGACGTTTATGTTTTTTCGCCATCTTGTTTCTTCAAAAAGATTAAAATATGCGGAGAGCACACCTTTCGCATTATTACAGTGAGTCTTATTTCAATAAACATAAGACATAAAATATAACGCCTTAGATATCCATCTCACTTCCTCTTAGCAAGAGTCAGGTGCATGAATATTGGTGGATCGCTTAACGAAGTGATACTTGAATCATTCTGATTGGTCAACATCATTCAAAATTTTACCTGCACAGGTATATCAGTGAACCACATCAGCTGTATCTTACTGTACTTATTGATTACTTACCGACAGGATCACCAAGTCTTCCCAATGGCACCATTTTCAATAATTTATCAACAACTTTATCAGGTACAGTTTCTATAATTGGAGTTTTAATAAAACCAGGCAGAATTGCATTTACTCTGAAAACAAATCCATATAAGTAATTTATGAGATCATGATAATGATTTATCTAAATAAAAAATAAAGCAATAAATTTAGTACTTGACATGACAAGTGAAGTGTGCGATATTGATAAACCTAAAGCCTTATTTATAGACAATCATTTTTCCTTTGAAAGAAACAATGTATATATGATATAACTAAGATAACGATTCAATAGGTGTAGATAATGAGAGGAAAAATAATTATAATATATATATTTTATTTGGATAACATGTTCAATGGTTCAAAGTCTACATGTAGATTCCAGAATTTAAACTACCTTTCACCTTATTTGACCCAGACAGAACTCAAAATAAAATCTTAGGTCACTTGAAAATACTATGTTATTCATTTTCATCTGTATATTCAACAAACTCACCGTTAAAATAGATTAGACATGACATTTCGGGATTTTGAGGTTTTGAGACGTACATTTAGGGAACTGGATATTCTGAACTGGGAGAAATTCTAAAGCTTATTATTATTACCTTATATTAAACTTCCCTAATTCTTTAGCCGCTGACTGCGACATAGCTACTACGCCAGCTTTACTTCCAGCGTAATTAGTTTGCCCTGAAAATATTTGAATGAGATGATTAATAATTTTTTCTTAATGAGTTAAAAATTTCCTCCAGCCCCAGGTACTCTGAGATCATCAGTCCTGTTAAGTCCTGGTTAGCTGAGAGTACCTGGTGATTTTTGAAGAATTTTTCATCAAGAATATTTTCCAAGATAGCATTCATCATCATCAACCCTTTTACGTGCACCCACTGCAGGGGCTCAGGCCTTCCTTATTGATGGCTAAGGAGGATGGGTCACGACCCTCCACGCTGGCCCAATGCGTATTGGAGGGTAAGAACGACAGCAAATGCAGCCGGGACCAACGGCTAAACTTGCCTTCGGAAGCACAAAGTAGCTTGAGATAATATTTTTTGGTCACCCATTCTGTGACCAACCCTTGCGAAAGTTGCTTAACAACGACGATCGCGGGCCGCGGCGCTTATCCTCCACGCCACCGAGCTACTTAAGATAGTAAATGCAAAATTAATCAAATATTTTTTTATTATCAGATTTTGGTTGTTATGAAAATTTATTTTATATAATACAAACCTAAGTTTCCGTATTTGCCAACAATACTAGATATGTTAATAATAGAGCCAGGCAATGATGCTTCAGTCAATTTTTGGGCAAATGCTTGCATCACCAGGAATGTACCCTAAATGAAAGATAGAAAAACTATTTTAATTGTAAATTAGATAATTAAAAGCGGAAAATCAACATTAACTGTGTTGTATTTTTGTAACTTCCATCCATTTCCATTGCGTCATAAATCATAACTCCACAGAATGAACCTTAGGCAACAAGATAGATTTGACTAATTACACCACAGGCAAAATAATCAAAAATATCAATGATCTCAATTAAATAACAGGTTTCCAAACATCTCTTTACACATGCATTTCTGTAGCAGTACTTTTTGTATTATAATAATACTTAGAATTTTTAACATATTCACATTACATTATAGAATCTTAAAAACATCTTAAGATAAATATATAACCTTTAAGTTGACATTCAGAACAGTGTTGTAATCCTCTTCAGACATCTTCAAAAGCCAGTTGTCTCTAGTGATACCTGCAGAATTGACCACAATCGTTGGAGGCGCTTTATACTGCTTGAGTGCAGTTTGTACCAAATGCTGTACTGAATTTGAGTCAGATACATCTGTTTCAATAGCACTGTGGTCTCCTACAGCTGGGAAATTAAGAACGTATCCATTAAGAAGTCAAAACTACAATATTTTTTAAAATATAATTGGTTACAGATTCAAATCAATAATATAATGAGGGCTTATTATAAAAATATACCATTAGATCCAGAAGCCAAGGCGGTGTGCGTTTTGATAGTTTGTACGGCAGCCTCATAATTATTATCTGCCGCAATAACCGTAGCACCTTCTCGCGATAGTACCTGACATGCCGCTCGGCCTATACCCGATCCAGCACCTGATTAAAAGTATTAATTCAATAAATTATAGGAACTGTAAAATCTACATAACTCCAAAACAAAATGTTTCTCACCCGTTACGACAGCAAGCCTTCCAGCTACTATTCCAGTAACCATATTAATATTTATATAAAATGAATAAGTATGTTAGTGTATGCTAAAAACTTTTAAAAATTTGACCTGTAATTTGTTAAATTGACTTTGAACATTTATGACAGCATTGAATTAGATAAAAAATAAGGATGTTCTATATCCTAATTCGATATGTAATAATAAAATAAAACATCATCAAAACTGAAAATTCTAAAGTTAGATATGAAACTTAGATATATACAATACAAATTCGAAAAAGTACAAATATAATATGAGTTGTTTATTGGGTTTTGAAAATTAATATACTTTTATTTCATGAAAGAAAACCGGAAGAGTTGTTATGGAGAAATCAAGAAAGTACCGTAGCGTAGTTTGATTTCGGGAATTAATATATTTTTATGCGCATATGCGTGACGCGACTTGACGGGTTAATAAAAGACCCATTGACAAATCTTCGTGATTAAAAGAAATATTGACTGTTCACGACGTTAACTTGGGAGATCATCGTCATTTTTCATTCATTTCATATTCATTTTTTGTGTAGAAATTAATTTATTCACTTGATATTGACAGAATTGTGCGAAATGCGCAAATAAGACATTACATAAAAGAAGAAGAAGATATGATAATAGAATCGGCATTAATCCTCCTGACATCAATAACGTTTTACTATTGACATTGAAATAAACATTCTATTATTCTAACTACAAGTTTCATTTCATATAAAATTAGGCTTGTAAAATATTAAATAATATCGATATATAATATTTTGCTTTGCATCTCTAGTAACAATGACTTTTGTTCAATGCTTTGCCTTCTTCGACTATAGTTCTTAAAATATAAAAATATCTCTGTAATAGCTGTCACTAGAGCTGTGACACTTAGGATATAATCCGTTGTGTCGATAGAACTCTTTATATTTTAAAAACTGATTTTAGATGATTGCAAATAATCAATGAAGATATTATTAACTCTTGATTATTTATTTATTTACAATCGGACTATGAAGATAAAAGAGAATAATGAATCTAGGTTTAAAAACATTCATTCTCATAGGAGGTTAATTTACAATTAGATAAACAATATTTTTGAAAAAGTAACATTTCTCTTTAATGTATACAATAAAAATATTGTAATATAAGTCCCTTAAATTGATAATTTACTGGAACCTTTTCTAAATAACACCCGCGTGACGTTATTTTAAAAATAGAAACTATAGATAGCACAAAATGCATGAGATAAATTACGTCACACTTACGCCATCAAAATGGCCACCAGGTGCATTAGCAATTTATGGGGATTATACTAAATATAATATTACAATGTGCACTTATATCTGAACAGTACAATTTTAAAAGTTAATCAAGAAGAATTACATTTAAATTAAACAAAAACTGTAAGTTTATTGTATTTATTGATCGAAAAGAGCACATCTAAGGTCATCATCGTCATCATCATAAGGTTTGTGAATATTCACCAATCGGAGCAATTCTTTTTTTAATAGTGTTTCGTTGACCTCCACTCCTTTGTTTTGCAGCCATGAAATTATTTCGTTCTTTCGATTATTGCTTGTCGGAGCCTTATCTCTTTGCACCGAATGGTATGAAGCGTTGTCCATTACGATAGTGTGTGGTTCCTTTAAGTTATTTAAAAGGATTAGAAACCACTCTCTTAATTTCTCGAAATTTATTTCTTCATGATAATCTGTGGTTTTTACGGATTTGAACGCCAATAAACAATTTGGTACAAAACCGGTTGACGTGCCAGCATGTACAATTATCAGTCGTTGTCCCTTGCCTTCAGGGACCTTCATGATGGAGTCTGCTTTGTCGTCTGTCCATGACTTTGAGACTGTGTGGTTTGCATTTAGCCACGTTTCATCCAGAAAAACTATCTTGTCCCAGTGAGTAACCATTTTTATATTGCTGCCGGCGTCACTGCATGGTGCTGCCACAATAATTAATTAACGATTGCAACTGTTTTATTTATGAATAAATAGGTTTATGTTATTAACAATAATGATTATATATTTAATTGTATCATTTTTTAAGCATATATATGCAAACAAACCAACAAATAATAGTCTTTTCTCTTTATAATATTAGTATAGATTGGATAAAGATTATCGTATTTATATTTATCGACTGTCACATCTCTATCTTTTTGTTGGTCCAGTATGACCTTGTAATGAGTAAGCGTTACATTTTTATAAAGTCATTGCTAGTAGTATTATAACTTACGAAATACGTTATAGGATAATTTTTATATTTATAATGCATTGCAGTTCATTTGTGATAATACCCATACGTAAAGAATAAAAATATAAGTGATTAAAACAGACAGTGTAAACATGACGCTTGTTCAAAGCTACTTCGTTGGTTTCATTGACATCTGTCACAGAGATCAAGCTATATTTTAATGTGGTGACGCAAAGTGCCATTAAAGTTAAGAAGAAGAAGAACTATAACAATCGAAGTCTGTCTTGGTTTTCTGTAATGGCTTCGTTTAGGAATAATGAAGAAGTATTTAAAAATAGATGACACTTTGTATTTTGAAACTAGGATCACTAGATGGCGGTATTATGTGTGGTGATGTCGATCTTAATACTATTATAAGGAGTTAAAGTATGAAATTGTTGTTTTATTGTAATAGGTTTAGGTTTATATAGGTATATAGGTTTTTCAAAAGAAACTTTTTTCACATGGTTTTTCATTACCGCTAGAAAAGCCATATTATCTGTATAGCAATTAAGTTTAGTGGTCACCATATTTATGTCATAAATAGAATAAATAAGTAATGGGTCCCATCAAGTCAACTTGTCAAATCAAGTTGTTTTACATTTTGATCAAAATGAGGAAGTATTCAAAAAAAAAAGAAAGCACTAAAAAGCGCCTTGACTTTTGTGATTTTACCAAAACTAAATGTAATTTAAATTAAACATAGTAATGTTAGTATGTAGTTTATTATAAAGTTGTCTTGGACTTGTTTTTAATCTCAGCCGTTTTTTTTGCATATGTAGTGCAATCTTAAGTCAACAAAACATTCAGTCACTAAATTAAGTAATTCTGTTTTATGGTTTAATACGTCATTTTCAGGAAACGCATTTGCTTTAAATGGCATTTTTATCATACAACTTTTTTAATAAAGTCACCTCCACTTACACGGAGTAAATTCCATATAAAACTTTCAGTTGTCAAGCAGACATCAAAAACATATTTTGATACATACACTAGACCACCCATATATCTTATATCTATGAATTTGTGAAACTATAATATGTCTTTAGCACTTATTTTATTATGTAGCCTATTATGTTTGAGAAACAATAGTTAAAGAAGAATAGTTTTCATCTAATCACATAACTCATTATAATGAGGAAGTATTAAAAAAAAACGAAAGCACTAAAAAGCACCTTTACTAGATGGCGGCTCTAGCAAAAGTTGATTTTTGCAGGAAACGAATGGACCAAAGACAGTCACTTCCGTTCCTTTTAACTAACATATATCATTATAAATACGAAGAAGTACCATCAGAATATGAGTTGTTTATTGAGTTTTGAAAACTAATTTTCTTTTAAACATGAAAGAAAACCGGAAGGGTTGTCATGGAGAAATCTAGAACGTACCGTACAGAAGTCCATGGTGTATTCCAATCTTCATCTCTATTAAATATTCAATCACTGATCAGTGATTCTGTTTTATTGGTTAATTCATCTTTATAATTAAAAAAATAGTTTTGTTATAAATAGATAGATTCTCAATATACATATCAAACACCCTGACCGATAAAAACCTATATGTTCATACACACGGATTTGTAATCGAGAACACGAACCACTACACCAAGATGGTTTTCAATGAGAAAGTGTTAACAGAAAAACATTAGTTCTCGAAATTATTTCATGTTTAAAAGTAAATTTGTTTTAAAACTCCGTAAACAATTCATATTCTAGTTGTACTTTTTTGTATTTGTATTGATATCTAAGTTTCGAACTTTTCAACTTTTAGTTTTTTAACATGTTAGTTAAAAGGAACGGAAATGACAGTCTTTGAAATGAATGGTGATTTTCTGCAAAATGGGACTTCGCTAGGTATTGGCTAATTGAAACGTAATATTTAAATTCTGTTTGTTGCTGATGGACAGACTTAATTTAAATTTAATAAAATAATATCTCTGTTGGTTATCTACAATGAATAAAACGGGTTTAATAAATCTTCAGAGATTTAATCACGTCAATATTATAACATCGATCAGAGTTAATGTAACGTTGAATGGTTAATCTTAAAAGTGTAACTGTATTTGGGTCCCTAATAGACCTGTAACTATTTATACGTAAGATACTTTGAAATTACCTTTAATAGTATATTAACCTAAAATGTTTCCCCTAAATAAAGAAGACAGTGTATAGTGAGAAATTATCATAAACCTTACAATTAAAGTTGCTGTCCATCTGATCTTCCCTCAGATTTGTCTTCATTATTCCCGCAGATTTGGGTACCTTACCTATCTATATAATAATGGGTATGGGTACTCCATGTACAAATAAAATTTTTAGATAGTAGAACATCTGATTGTTTTTAGATAGAATGCATTCTTCCTAGTTAGAACTAGTTTTTTTCTAAATTCATTTGTTAAAACTAGCATTTTCCATTGATATATTTGATTTTCAGATAAAACTAATTGTCTTTTCAAGATTTAGTTAAAACTAGCACTAGAGAAGATTACAATTTTGAAGTCTGGTGCTACGATAGTTAATAAGAACAAAAACTGATAAAAACCTAAATTGTTTTGGTTCTCTAGGGCACATGATAGGTTAGCATAGCAATCTTCTTAAATTTTGAGGTTTTTTTAACAGTTAACAAAAAAGATGATAAAATAAACAGTTATTTTTCACCGACTTGTCTATAAGAACTCCTTTTAACTGATATACAATTTTGAGCATTTGTTAATTACCTAAAAAATATATATTGTTTTAACAAAAAAATATAGGTATTAAAAACTAGTTCTGACTAGGGAGAACATGTTTAAAAACTAGTTTTAACTGTAACAGATATAGGTATTTCAGGCAAAATTCAGATAAACTTAACTAATCATCGGGTCACATCAATAGATCTCTTGATTATGGTGCATAAAATCCAGGGTTTACAAACTTTTTTCTTAGTTTCCAGAGTGTACAGGTAGCAACCTTAATTACAAGGCTTATGTACCTATGTAGATAACAGTTATCTGTCATACAGAAATCTTAAATTTAAACTTATAAACTATAATACAATAATCACTTAAGGAGTATTATCACTATCATTCAACCGTGTTACCGTCAAAGATATTAATTAGTATTGATATTTTTATGTTTACAATCATTTTTTAGTTGGTAATACAACTGCTATCACATTTAATAAAGTCAATTAAATTAATTCTACCACAGGCCTAAACATACTCCAAAGTCTTTCAAATTCAGCTTTATATTGAGAAACAATTTCTTTTTGGGATGTAACAAAGACATCTTCCCAATTGCCATGCAAAGCTTGATTTGTCCAATTCAACGACCCTCCTATTACTAAAGGTGTAGCGATAGAATCTTCAGAATGTGTATCGATCAAGCAGAATTTGTGATGCATCAAGTTTGTTGACTTCATCCATCGTACAGGTACTCCTAGCTTCTCAAATCTCCAAACATTTGAACCATTAGAATAGGCCATGTCAGCATCAATTATCATTCTTATATGAACACCTTTATAATGAAGTTTCATGATAGCATTGGCCAAATCTATATTGGTGAATACGTACATACATATATCTAAAGAGTATTTTGGTGAGTTCAAATAGTACAACAATCTGTCCATACTCTCTGTTATCATACATTTTGAGTATTTACTTTTTTTAATCACTTTTGTGCCATGCGAGAACATAATAACTTCATGTATTTCTTTCCGCATACTTTTCCGTTTTTTCTGGTAATAGTTATCGTAGTAATACTTCGATGTTATGGCAAATGCTACGATTAGAACTAACGCTCTTCCATAAACGATGGGCAAAGACATGTTTTAATTTTTATCTTGATCCGAATCTGTTTATTTTTAATGTTTCTACTAACACATTTTTAAACTTATTCTGTAGTTTATGTTTATCTAGCTACAACGTCGGTAGTTTGATATTTTATTAAAGTTTGCTTATTTTTTGTTTTGGAAGTAGCAGCGGCAAATCAATAGTCCCCGATTTTGGCATTACGTTTTTTATTTAATTAAAGCAAAGGGATTCTTCCACTCAGGCAATCTTTACTTTGATAAATTATTTTCTGTAACATTGGAGTTTAAATTTTAAGTTATTAATAATGCTATTAAAATATACAGAACAACAGAGAAGTAAAAAATAATGAAGACTTAGTAAAAAGAAGCTTTCGTGCGTAGTAGAGAGGTGACCTGTTCACAATGAGTCACACCAATGATTTTTGTTATCAGCATAACTCGAGTATTATCAGCATAACTATCAGTAACTCGAGAAAAAATCTGTTTTTATTTTCTTCCTATGTTTAGAAATTACCGCGATATTAAATGGTAAAGTAAGGCCTCCGCGGTAAAATCCGGCGAAGCGACCGCGCTAACGTGTGACATCACTCGGTCACTCGCGACACTGCCACTCTGTACTTGCGGACACGTACATAGGTTCATTTCCCTTTGAAAAGTCCTAAAAATAAGAATGCTAGCACACCTATAATACGAAAAGCCATTACTTCCAATACCTCAATATATACCTATAAGACACACGCGCATAGACAAAAGTTCTGTGCGCCTAATCTATTCTGCCCTGCGATTCTGTACAAATCCAGACCCGGATGAGGAAATATTTTAAGAAAAAAAATAAAGCACATCAAAAGTAGATTTTTGCAGGAAACGAATGGACCAAAGATAGACAAGTCCGGTTTTTTTTTAACTAATAGGTATATTAAGAAACTAAAATTTTCCAAGTTCGAAACTTAGATAATGGCGTAGTGGATAAGCTCCGTGGCTCCCGATCGTTGTGGTTAAGCAACTTTCGCAAGGGTCGGTCACGGGATGGGTGACTAAAAAAAAATATTATCTCGAGCTACTCCGTGCTTCGGAAGGCACATTAAGCCGTTGGTCCCAGCTGCATTTGCAGTCGTTAATACCCTCCAATCCGCATTGGGCCAGCGTGGAGTGTCATGGCCCATCCTCCTTAACCATCCATAAGGAAGCCCTGAGCCTCTGCAGTCTGGACGTAAAAGGGCTGATGATGATGAAAAAGTACAAATAAAATATGAGTTGTTTATTGAAAATTAATTTACTTTTAGGATACATGAAAGAAAACCGGGTTTTGGATGTCAAAAAGGTTGTCATGGAGAAATCAAGAAAGTACCGTAGCGACAAAAGCTTGATTCGGAAACTGTTTTTTTTTTAATACTTCCTCATTCGTGTCCGAAATCACGGCATTTAGTATTCCATTTTTTTAAATCAAAATTGATTGAATATACGTGTCTCAGATATTCTATTCTTCTCCACTTATGCCACGAAACATTATAAGCAATTCAAGGTTGCCGCTTTTTGAGTGAATTCAATTTCAAATTTTAGATTATGCATCTACTTGGTTGATACTCGTACCTAGATCAAAATGACGAAAAACAAATCTTAAATGGTTTTTACATTAATGGCATTTCCATAATTGTAAAAACCCTTTTAGAATCGACTTTAGATTTTAGTTGATTTATGATTTCAAAACACCATGGAATAAAAATTGCAAAAAGAAGGATTTTGATTAGCCCCACAAATAATTCGATAGTCGTAAAATTGAAAATGTTCAAGGAAAGTGTTTTTTTGTCTAAATTCGTCAAACAACAAATATATATCAACTATATATCATGCTTTCTGGAATCTTGTCGGTAGATTATGGAGTAGATGCCACGAAACATTATAAGCAATTCAAGGTTGAGCGGATGCTGCTTTTTGAAGTGAATTTGGGCACCTGAGTGAATTCAAATTCGGGTTTGGATTTTTACAGAGTCGTATTATTATATTGTTAAAATAATAACAGAGTAAATTATTATATTTTTTTCTAAACAGAGCAGGGCTGTTTAGAAAAAATATAATAATTTGTTTAGAAAAAAATAATTATATTTCCGCGCTCTCTTGTTGAACAATTTTACAGTGACGCGTTTGCAAAAATATTTTAATGTACATTTTTGATTTAGACTACGAGCTCAAAATTCTATTTTTGAACGAAATGAGTAATATATTTCATCCTCAATGAAAAATGCTTAAAAATTCACTTTGTGCCTAGCACTCTGAGGTGGGACTCGAACCCATGACCTTACGCAATTTTTCAGTTTAGCATTGTGGATGGAAAATGGATCAAATATAAAAAATATATTTAATTCTTTTTTTTTCTGTACAACTTGAGTTCTAAGGAGAAGAAGGAAAAAAGAGAATACATAGAAGCAGTTTTAAAAAATGTAATCCTTAATGGAATCAGGAATATAAATAGTAATTGTTGGATAAATTTAATAATAATAGTAGTAGGATAGTTTAAAAATGAATACGAAAGTGGTCGCTCAGTTCAAAAGTACTTTGAAAATTTTTGACCAAACTCATTTAATAATGCAGTGGATATTTATAAAGCTAGAGCCTTAGATTCTGGTTTAGAGAAGTAAAATTGCAGATGAGTTTAACTTTCTTTATCTGGGTCTGGGTGTTTTTTGTGCGGTACTGGATATCTTAGTGGAGGTATATTTTAATAAAAATACAATGACTAGTACGGCTGCATTATTTCATACATACGTTTTATATTACAAATTGAAAATGATACGGAAAACTTAACAGAAAACCACTCAGTTTGTTTGCCATAAAGGATGAAATGAACTTTTTATCTGTAACCTATGGAAAAGAAAACAATATTTAAAAATGAAATTGAAAAATGTTTGCGGCCCCTGCTTGTTAATCATGAAATTATCTAAACTGCCTTTATTTATATTTAATATTTTGGAAGTTTATGTTAAACTTTGACAACTTGGAAAATGTTTGTAACCCCTACCGCCATTTAAAACTCCACAAAAAACAAACAGTAATCTGTAAGCAAAACTTGATTGAAATACCTAGTAACATAAATGAGTAGATTACTTATTTATTCATCGCATTTCAGATGTTACATATTCACCATTCTAGGAGAAATATCGCGTAACCATAAAAATTACGACCTTTACTGTGAGTTGCAAAAAGGTCCATTAAGGTTTAATGACGCCTTTAAGCACTAATGAATGTCAAATTTATATAGTTATTCGGTCAGTTGCACAAACGTCCATTAAAAGGCGTCATTAAACATTAACGGACGTTTGTGCAACTGAGCTATTTTCTCTTTAAACTCATGAAAATTTTAATGGATGTTTGTGAAACTGGCTGTTAGTAGGTTATCAGAATGTCCTTTTACAAAACCCGTTTCCAATCACTATGCTAAGTTAGCAAGAATAATATAACACAAACACAATAATAAACACTTAAAATATTAAATGAAAACCACATTATTATTTTTTTTCATTTAAACATACTAAACACTGCATTACCCGCAGGCGAGCCTTCTTTTTTTTTTTTTTTTTTTTTGACGCTGAGAAATGCATTCCGCATACCCGCTTCACCCTGCGCGAGCTCCACGGGTTATGTGGGACTCTCCCCTGCGGACCAACCCCAGAGTGGGGCTGGTCAAAGAACAGGGGCCTACCCACTAAAACTCAGCGATGTCCCTCACTGCGGGAGATCAGCGCGCGGTAACGGTCCCCAACGGGACCACTTCCCGCACATGCCGTCCCCGCTCGACCCACCCCTTAACAGGGCGGGTCCCGTCTCGGGTTAGGGAGGGGCTCAGGAACATTCGAGTCCATCTCCAGACAGGACAAGGAGCGTGCAATGCCTGGCGAGCGCGCTAACCCGCCAGACTTACCCCCGATAGCCCCGGATACCAATGTCCAGCCCAGCGTGCACCGAACCAGTCACCAGTATTCCGTTCCTTAGTCGCGCTCTGATAGTGGCCCCGTCGAGGCCCGATCACTCCACACACCGAACGGTGTGTGGGGCAGTCCGGCCCCGACGGCTCCACTACCAGAGAGCAAGATGGAAAATTCCCTCACCAGCGTACGCCGGTCGACTCCTCGGTTTTCCTCACTACCAGCTCTCCGAGCCTCTCTGCCGATCGTAACCAATAGGGTTGCAAGGCGAGAAGGTAACCTTCGCAGATTCAGGACCTCGAATACGGGAACACTGTCATGCTCCCGCCACCAGACCCGCAGTCGAGCCTGACTGAAGCGTCGCAACGTGACGTCATGAGGTGAAAATTTACAACGCTGTAACTTCGGTAATCCTGACCCGATTTCGATGAAACAAAAACTATTATTATTTGCACGAATATGTGCTTTTATATTAATATTTTGATGAACAGTCTTGGTGCTAAAATTTTTTACGTTTAAAATCGCGTGTCATATTTATTTCTTCGCAGAAATAGAAAGCCATCATCTCAAAGAACGATGTTCGTTCTGTGAGTTCTAATAATTCGTAAAATTTTACTTTTACACACTGATTTAATTTGAAAGTATAAATCCACATAGCGCGCGAAGGTAAAAATATACCAAATAATACATAACTAATTCTTTAATAAAATAATCATTATTATGTTTAAACTGTTGATAATCTGGCCCAAATCTGCACTTCCCGGTCAGTGTCAGGGGGAGCCGAAATCATGATAATATAAAACCTATTTACTGTAAGAACAAACTTTACAAATCTCTTCATATAAATTATAGGCTGCAATGGGACGGAAAAGCTTTAAAAAAGGGGAAGGCTTAGAGGAAGGAAGCCATACAAAGTTTCTGCTCCGGTTATAAAAAGCGTAGATCCGTGGCTGATAACTAATTGTGGGCGTGCTCAGCCCCCTTGCTCTCGAACGCAATCGTGACCGAACGACATTGCAATTGTGGTTTTCCGCACTCTTGATTGGTTCACTAGCATACTCTGGCGCTAATGTACCCAATAAACAATAAGAAAAGGTACAATGTCGATCTGTCGTGATCGCGTTCGAAATTAAGAGGGCAGGTTCGCCCTGAGACAAATATTGAAAAAATGTTTTAAATACCATGATAATGACAAACTAATTCTGTATTTAGACCTACAAAATTTTATAAAGAAATCACAATCAAGTCAACAAAAGCATATCGAAAATATTCAAGTCCAACAAAAACATTTTTTTTAATTTCAGATTTTAGATTATGCCTCTACTTGGTTAATACTCGTACCTAGATCAAAATGACGAAAAACAAATTTTAAATGGTTTTTACATTAATGGCATTTCCATAATTGTAAAAACCATTTTAGAATCGACTTTAGATTTTAGTTGATTTATGATTTCAAAACACCATGGAACAAAAATTGCAAAAAGAAGGATTTTGATTAACCCCCCAAATAATTCGATAGTCGAAATTGAAAATGTTCAAGGAACGTGTTTTTTTTTTGTCTCAATTCGTCAAACAACAAATATATATCAACTATATATCATGCTTTCTGGACTCTTGTCGGTAGATTACAGAGTAGATTTAATTTCCATTGTTCCCTTGACTTCTTTATTTTCATCAATCAACTTGACTTCTTGGTACTTACTACACGCCGCTTACTTTTTCTTTTACTTATTCCAAGTAGCTGCGTCTTCCTTTTTTCTCATCTAATTTGTCCTGTATGAAGTTTTTTAATGAGCTATCGGGTCGCAACAACCTACATACTTTTCACTTGACTTCTTGGGTACAACATCGCTTTTATTAAGAAGGAACCTCAATTACCAGCAAAGTTATTAAGAGTTAAGTGATGTCAGGACTAATGTATGGCATGGAGTTAGCAATCAATGGCGTGGCGTGCCTTGGAGGTGCCCTGTATCAAAATTAGTTGAGGGTAAATAGCCCAAATGAAGGCAAAACACTTTTACTTACACACAATATAGGCCTTTGACGCCCCTGAAGCCTGGTGACCCCGTATTATTGATACGGCTGATACGGCAGGCTGTTGTTAGCAATCTATATATTTACCTAACCTATGATAGGAATCAAAATACTATGTAGAAATTACGAAAGTAAGTAAAACTCAACATTTCAAACTTATTCTAATAGGTTTATTAAGAACGGACTTAAATAAAATAAAAAATCATAAAGTTATATTATTTAAGCTAAAGTCATGTGGCCTTAATCTTAAATTCAAATTATATGAACTGTGATGTGCAGCTGGTAGTGCACCACCGTAACCACTTATAATGCCACAGGACCCATAAGAATTTTCTGCGCCATTTCCATAGCTCACTACGCTTTGTCCCATCAAAGCATTGGAGGTAGGAACATACTGCCTAGTTCCCATATTCTGCATCATTAACGAATAATCGTTTTGATAAAGACCGGAATTCGTTAATGGAATGCCAATATTTAAATTTAAATTGTTGGCTTGGAAGTGATGTAGCCACGGTTCCTTTGTCCTTGTCAAATCTTGTCTTGTTTCTGCTTGATGGGGAATTCCTATTGGAACAGGAATGGGTTCTGGAGAACTGTGATTAGTTGTAGATTTGTGATTGGAAAGAGCGGAGCGTTCGTTTCTTCGAAATTTGGCGCGACGATTTTGAAACCAGACCTGCGTGAAAACAAGAATATTAAAGGTGACTTACTGATATATCAACGCACGGCTTGAAGCTGCAGTGATATTCACGCCTTAAGCATTCTCTGCCAGTCAACCTTTGGGGGATGTGTATATATCATTATGGTGAATGCAGATGCATAATGAAGGTACAGAGCTATTAACATATACAAATATTGTTAAGTGAGAAAACATGGTTAAAAATATTGTATAAATATAAAAAAATATAAAATAAAACATAAAAATAATAAAAATAAATATGGAGACTTAAATATATACTGGCATATAATTATGATATACACATATTACACATACTATATACGAGGGTCAAACTGAAAGTTCTTAGAACTGGCCACTTATAAACAATATAATAAAAAAATAATTCTAAAATTTGAAAATATAACTCTTTGCCAATATTACTGAGTATATATTTCATTCGTCATTTGTTTTACGATTTGGCGGCAAATTGAAAATTGTCTGTGTCACGTCATCATGAATTTAACACGAGAAAATTTTCGTGCAATGATTTTTTATGACTTTCGATGTCATTTAAGTCAACAAGAAAGTTATGATAGACTACGATTGGCCTTTCACGATGAAGCCCCATCTCGTGCGACTGTTTACAACTGGTTTAATGAGTTTAAACGTGGTCGCACTAATCTCACTGATGATTTACGTGAGGGACGGCCTTCTACGGCGACGACTGAAGATAACATCTGTGTTGTGCGGCGTATGATAGAGACTGACAAAAGAGTGACCTATCAACAGATTCGGACAAGCTTAGGCATCGGTATGAGTCAAGTGCACAAAATCCTCCACGAACATTTAGCGGTCAGGAAGCTTTGCGCCCGGTGGATACCTCATAATTTGACTGAGGCTCAAAAACTCCATCGTGTGGATTGGTGTCGTAAAATGATTGAAAGATTTAACGGAGGTGACTCAAATGCTGTGTTCGACATACTAACAGGTGACGAAAGCTGGATTTACTGTTATGATCCTAAAACCAAAAGACAATCTGCTCAGTGGGTGTTTCCTTTCGAGGAGTTGCCAACTAAAGTGAAGAGAGATCGAAGTGCGGGAAAAAAAATGGTGGCCTCGTTCTTTGGAAGGATAGGTCATTTTGCAACAATTGTGTTAGAGGATCAAAAAACAGTTTCTGCAGAATGGTACACTACCAATTGTTTGCCACTTGTCTTGGAAAAAGTTCGAGAGAAACGACCTCGCAGTAGGATCCTCCTTCACCACGACAACGCCTCGTCGCACACCGCCAAGCGAACGATCGACTATTTGGCGACATCAAACGTTGAATTACTGGGTCACCCGCCGTATAGCCTCGACCTCGCGCCTTGTGATTTTTATTTATTTCCAAAAATTAAAGAAAAACTTAAAGGAAAGCGGTTTATGAATGCTGAAGAAGCGGTGGCTGCGTATCGCGATGCCATTGAAGAGACCCCTAAGGACGAGTGGGCAAAGTGCTTTTCCCAGTGGTTCCATCGCATGCAGCGGTGTATTGACGTGAATGGACAATATTTTGAAAAGATATAATAAAACTAATAACTGGCTAATGTAATCAGTTTTTGATTTTCTAAGAACTTTCAGTTTGACCCTCGTACACAACATCCAAGCATCCGAGAAAAATGAGATTTGGGTTTCGTTATGTTACTTACGCGCGCTTTTTTCTGTCTCTAAAGTATATCGACTATTATCGTACACTATACTTTTGTTAAACTATTTGTATCAATAAATACATTTTTATTTTTTTATTTTTTTTATTTATCATATTTATTAATTTAGGTTATTAATGTATGGTATATGACAAACAGTTTTAAGTGACAAGTAAATATTCAAACACTCATCACATATTTATATTATTAACGATATTACTAACAGAATCCAGGAATCAGGATCATGTAAAAGAATCCAGGACCATGTAAAGAGGGATAATCGCCACTTTCTTATTGACATTATATTGGCATACGGACCTGTACTCTAGCTTCAGTTAAGTTAACTCTAGCCGCCAAATCTTCTCTAACAAAAGCGTCAGGATAATGTGTTTTCTCGAACACTTTTTCCAAAGCCGCCAGCTGCTGACTCGTGAACGTGGTCCTATTCCTTCTAGGTTTTTTCCTTTCATCATTCTTTCCATCCTTCTCTTCTTCCGATTCCTTTAGTATTTCACTCTCTTTCCCACATTTGACTTCATCATATTTCCTCCTCATATCCTCGTACAAGTAGCCGACTGGTTTTATATACGGTCTCTGTAAGTCTTTTGGGTACCATGTTATATCGTTCTGGTATGTTGGCTCGTAGCTACCATTCATCTGCCGGCTGGAAGTCAAATGATGCAGCCTCAGAAGACTGTCTTCATGGCATTTGATCATTTGAAATAAGCTGTGATTGTTCTCTGAATAATGTCCGTGATTCTGGCTGTAGTTGGTATGAGATTGTGTTTTGCTCTCGTAATTTTTTGTTATGCTGCCTTGACTTATACCAGGTAAGATATCTGTAAAATAAATTTTACGTTAGGTGGCGCTGGTTATCTAATTATATTTTTTATGAAGACTCCTATAATGCCGAGTTCACTCGTTTATTTAGTTTGGTAACAGCTAGAACTTGGACTTTCAATTTGTTATGAGATCTATTTTATGTCCAAAGATAGATTTAAGTCGAAACAAAGCAGCTTAATTCGTGTTAACTAAATAAATAAACAAATTGAAAATTTTATTATGCCCTTTAATAAAAATGAAAAACGCCCAAAAACATAACGCTATAAGTTTTGTTTTGCCCTAATTGATATATGTATCAATTGAAAAAATATAAGAAATAGTAGGTAAAGCCGACGCTCACGCTTAGTTGAACAATAACTGTACTCTCTTGAGGTCGGGGCGTGCGCGAGCGCAACGATATCAATTACACGAACTACACATGGAAATGATTTTTCAGTAGAACTACTATGCTACTATGTGTATGTTACTTGTAATGTTTAGTATATTCGCAAATTATTATTGAACCTGGTGTCAATTCTGCTGTACCAAAATCTAAACCGAACAAAACAAAGCCCTTAGATTCGAAGTAACACTCGTAAGAATTAATATGACACATGAATGTCCATTCGTAGTTTTATTCATTTTTAGGGTTCCGTAGTAAGCAAACAACCCTTTTAGTTTCGCCATGTGCGTCTGTTCGTCCGTAGGTACGCGGTTAAGCTCAAAAACTATTGCTACTAAAAAATTGTAATTTGGCATGAGTATACATGTTCATTACGCCGACAGAGTAGTAAATTAATATAAAAAAAAATTGGGTAACCCACTACACGTAAAGCGAAGATCACATTTTTTCGTCTTCCCCATGGTATGAGACATCGTTGGATAGGTCTTTGAAAAATATTGGGGGTAAAGAAAGGCCCTTTTTCAATTTAGTAAACCGTTTGTGAATTGAAAAAGCTTAAAAGAGCAAATTTTTGTTAGAGTCAAGTGTCCCCCGTACGAACAAACCAGTCAAAGATAAAAAATCAAATGTTACGGCAGTTTGTACCTATATATAACGGAGTTAAAAGAAAAACTATCACACTTAAGCTGGCCTTACAAGTTTACGAGTATTATTCGATTGTATTTAACTCGAAAATTTCAAACAACTCCATAGAAAACAACAAACGTAATTTTCGCCTCGCACTTGGTTGGTTTTTTAAATACAGCTATAGCTACCGTTAGTTGTTTGAGCCCAGTTCAAGCCAGCTCCGTATTTACGATTTTCCCAAACGAAGCAGAAACTTGATAGTCAGAGCCTTTTGAACACCAAATAACTACTAAAAAATTAAAGCCTAAACACTTTTTAAAATCAACCCAGTACTACTCGTAGGGATTAACATGACACATGTGGCACTATTCTATTTGTCTTCGAACGAAAATTGCTAAAAAAATTTAAATCGTTCTTTTAATTTTTATTTAAATCATATCCATGAAGATTATCTGTGCATCAGAGGCAGCATCAGGTCCTACCTCCGTTCCATTATTAATTTTCAAAAATTGCGTTTCTTTCATATTAACATCGCAAAAATGGATGAAATGTCGTTTTTGAACTCGCAGAAAAGGCCGTCCGGTGTCGTGTTAATTCGTACGAGTAGTAGTGTCGGTGCCTATTCAATGTAAATAAACAAATTTTTTCTCTTAAAATATGAGTATATAAAAGAATTCAATTTTCCAGCTTCCTAATGATATTTCGATGTAAATCTTCATAAAAATCGATATTATTGCTATAATAAAAGATATTTGAATAATGTCTTTGTCTATATTCAAAATTTTAAGATGACTTATCGCCTGTGTATCCTTAATAAAGAATCTATACGGTTCATTCTGTGACGGGTTCGATGCTTGGGCGAATTAATGAAAGGCTGACTTAATTTGAGAATTGATTTATTTTATGGTAAATACGTAAAGGGTAAAGAAAAAATCCCTTTTTGGGTTTGCCGTGATACGAAAACTTGGATGATATATCAAGATATAATTTTATTTTAAATAATATATAATTTACAATAACATATTCACAAGAGAAGATTTTTTACGAACTGACATTCATAAAGAGCATATTTGATTAGTCAAATTTCAAATCACGAAAGTTGAATAATAGAAAGAAATGATGTTGAATTTCAAATACAAAAAGTTTGCATGCTGAAACCTAGGACGAAATAAACGTTGGTACGGCACACCGTTACAATTCTATCATTATTCTGTAGGATAATGCTCTAATTGGGGAATGGGCGTTCCGGCAACTCGATAACAGTTTCCCGAGTGCCTTGGTAGCCTCAGATGCCTGAGGAAAATCCCAAATACACCCTGTTGCACGTCAGGCGACAGGAATTGCGCTTGAAACATTTCCCCGACGAATTTCATTCAATATTATAACCACTTTGGCCAATAATTAAATACATAGTACATTAAAAAAAGACTCCACTGATTTTTTTAAACATTAACGTTTGCGAAGCTTAAATACTGGTAATAAAGTGGATACCTACTTACAATATATACCTAACAATTAAAATTATATATTAATTATATAAAAAAATGTCTAAATTTTCGTAACTTCAAACTAAAGAGAATGCATTAAATGCATAAAAGTAACTTTTTGTTGACGTGAGACGTTACACCACTTCAGATCATTTTATAATTATTTTACACGTCTCTATGTAGGTATAACATTCCGAAAAATCTGTGTAGTCTAGACACTGCATTTTTTGAGACCTCATAAGATTTATGCATCTATGGTGACACGCCGTTTTAGTTTATTGCTGATTGTGATTCGTAAGAGACCCTTAGCTCTTTTATCTAATAGGCACACATTACTTTGAAATTTAGTCGCAAATAAAGGTAAAGGTTCGTCTTGTTCTAATCTTAAATAAGGTAATCGAATGAACTAATGCTTTATATTTGTTTCAAGATGCTATATTGATCCATATTTTGAAGAAAAATGCATATAAAATTAAAATAACGGCTAAATTTTAATAAACCTTCCCCCAATAGAATGCTAATGCAAACTCTGAGTGACACAGGCAATTTTTTTTTTCAAAAGTTCTTACAGCCATAGAACAACAATATTATAAAATTACCTTTATCCTGTTCCATAGTCTGCATTCAAATTATTATAATAACTCTGTTATAAATCTAGCACTGTCACTTCACTTTAAAATTAAATCTGAGTTGTACAGTCCAATGTCGATCGAAAGCATCCGTAGCAAATAATCGTTATTAATCCACTAACTTATTAAATTACTTTATTTAATTATATAATTCGACTAACTCTCCTTAATGTGTGAACTAATGGAGTTCGTTCCCTGATCTGGCTGTATCGCCAGTATTCCCAGACACGTGTGAAGCAAAAAATAATTTTGTAAACATCATCCTCTTAACCCGATACGATTTGACACACCCCTAATTTAAAACGTACGGGATTTTAATCTTTATTACTCGTGCACAAATGTTATAATTTTATAATGAGCAGCGTATGCAACCTTTCGTGAAGTGCCGAAAGAAAACAGATTCTAATAGTGAAGTATAAAATTGATTTTCTATCGGCACTAGTGGTGGGTGTTCCGTATTCTAAATTCAAATTATTTGAAGCAGAACGAGGCGTGGTTTTCCTCGGCCGGCCCTCAAATAAAAAAGATTTTCGTGCGGGAAGTGATTTGGGGTAATAATTGACGCGTCAACGCATATTATTAATAGTTAGCCGAGATGAAAATTAAGATAAACTTATTAAGTAATTGGTTGTGAAAAGTTTATGTGGCTCCGTCGCGGTGCGGATGTGGAAATTGGTTTTTATGATATACAATATAGAAACAACGGCTCGTTATTTTTGAGGTAATTTTTTATCCACGAATTCTAATTTAAGCGTAAGTCCGGTATTTTTTAACCGACTTCAAAAAAAGAAGGTTCTCAGTTTGACCTGTATGTATGTACGTATGTTTGTTTGCGCTTATCTCGCGTTTGACTGGACCAATTTTGATGCGGTTTTCAGCATAGTATTTGTCAGACTTGGGAGCAGGTTTTAAGTATATTAACCACCTAAATAATCGAGGTTCGCACTTGTACACGTGTTGTATGTTTTGTCCGTAATTATCTCGAGTTTGGCTGACCCGATTTTGACGATGTTTTCAGAAAAGTATATAAGTGTTACCTTTTAAATAAAAAGATATCAATATCACTAAAAAACATAAAAAAAATAAAACAAAATAGAACTGATTTCTAAGTTAAAAAAAAGTGAAAAATAATACTTATCTCAAAGCGACTTGTTCAATAAGCTAGCTTATGCCCGCAACTTCGTCCACGTGGTAAAGTTACTCTGAGCAGCATTTCTAACGAATATTTATTCAATATATCGAGTAAGAATAAGAATAAGAATAATTTATTTGCAAGAATATTGTATAAAGTAAGGTCTTAGTTTTATTACAAGCACGGAACACATTCACCCCGTTTGGGCATGCAAATTATAAAAAACCTGAAATAAAGTTACATCCCCTATTTTATCCCCTTAGGGGTGGAATTTATCAAAATCCTTAGGAGATGCCTACGTCATAGTAGCTTTATGCATGCAAAGTCTCAGCCCGATCGGTTTAAAATTGTCAAAGTTTCATACAAACTTTCATCCCCTATTTTATCCCCTTGGGGGTAGAATTGATCAAAACCCTTTCTAAGCTAATGCCTAAGTCATAACATCTACCTGTATGCCAAATTTCAGCACGATCCGTCCAGTGGTTTGGGCTGTGCGTTGATAGATCACTATGTCAGTCAGTCACCTTTGAGTTAAATATATTTAGATTCACTTTTTTAAGTTTGAATTCGGTTCTATTTTTTTAAGTTTTACGTGATAGATTAGTTAGGTATGTCCT